TTTGGCATGGTCCACGCTGTACGTGAGGGGGTTTATTAGAGTCCCATATTTACACGATCCACTTAATAAGGTGAGGACAGTCCTCTCCTAACAAGCCGGTTTTGTTAGGTTGAGTCAGACCCAATATCCTTTCTAATAATTTGAAACCCTAATTTTAGAGGTCTGAAATTTTGACAATCAAAGGAACCAAAATTGATATAATAAGAAACTAAGGAAATTGGCACCAAATTGAAATTTAGTCGGAGTTGAATTAATTTATTCATAATCGATCCATCCTATAAGTAACATTACAATCCCATTATTCTTAACCACAGAAGGAAAAAGAAACCATGTAAAATCCTATTACTAAAAGGAAAAATAATAATTCCTCACTAGATTCGGATATAAAATAGATGATACTATTTCCATAATCTTCTATTCTAATTTTCCTATTCTATCTTTTCATAGTTTTATTTATGGCAGACCACACTATGTGGCTTTGGCTCTGCCTTCTGGCAATCAAAGAACACAATATGAAGGCCTTCCAACATTTTGGAGAAAAAAATAAAAGAATCCATAATAAAGTCCTTGTGTGATGGACATTGAGCTCTCTTTAGTTGAGCTTGGACGACATGTGGGCTGCTTACCTATCCCAAGGAAGGTTTCTATGAAATATTTAAATGTGCACTGGAGCGTGGCTTTAAATTCTATGTTTTTCTGTTTGCACCACCTACTTTCTCATTTTACTGTGGACTTTTTCAATATAACTGGGTTACCATGGAATAAGAAATTTTAGCTTCATTTTAGCTGGTCTTGATTGTGGTCAATGTATCAGGACATTTACTCAAGTCAGTGTGCAATGGCAAGATACTGAATCAATGAGGGAAGAGCTAGATGATTTACAGGTTAGTGTTATTTTGATTTCACGAAACAGGTGAGACTGCAACTATAGTAACGTAATTTACTTGAATGCCAATTTTGTGTTAATGCAGTGCATTTAGTACATTGTGCTTCATCATTTGAGATCATAAAGTACTATGTATCTTGACAGATCTTTGTGAGCACGAGATGGGCAATTTTGTTGAACTTGCACGTCGAGATGTTTCGTGTGAACATGTATCCTTCATTTGAATTCTATTCATTCTTATCAGCATCATTCTAATTACCTACTAGTCTACATCAATTGCAAAGTCACATAATGCATTTGCAGTTGCCTCATTGCTTTCAGTAGCACTGGGATCAGTTTCAGGTTTGCAGACTATTATTGATGACTTTGTCATGTGACAGTTAATATAATTGTTGACGATTTGCAATGATATGCTCTATCTTGAGGGGAATTTCTTGTGATTACGTTATTGGAAACTCTTTGAAATGAAAGAAGGGGTGCAAAATCAGATGTGGAGGCAGGTAAGGAAAAATATTCTTTTTGAAAGCTTAAAGAAAAAGGAAATAACTTGGTGACATTTTGGAAAACGGCACAACTGTTTCCATCATCTGAAGCAATTTTGCCAACTCATCCTGAAATAAGATGAGAACAAAATTTGGCTCTGCATTCTGTCTAGCATGCAAATTAGATTGTGTCCACAACATCATCTACCGTGTTTGGATAATTTTAAGTACCATTTCTTTTTCTGCTAAACTTGTCTTCAGTCTTATACTTCGTTTGCTGTTTCTTTGGAAAATAAGTTTTTGTTCTGTTCCCCGGAAGATTTCTTTTCTTTGAGCTTCTTAACTTGCAATAGTGTCGAAGACATTCTCCAAGTTCTCATAGTCTTCGCTGTTGAGTCGCTGGAGTTAAATTTTGCCCTTCTCTTTCCAGAGAGCCACATTCTTCTTCGGGTTTTGCCTGTTCTTGTTGTCTTAGCAGCATCATCAGAGAAAGATAGCGAGTCACTTTATAAGAGAGTGAAAATCAACAGATTGATCAATATATTTAAGGTACATTAGTTCAATGCCATTGATCTGCAACTATTCAAGCTAAAAGATTTGTCCTCTATTACATTGCCAATTTGCCTTACATTTCAAATTGACGCGTCTTTAATTACATCTCTTGTTTCGTAGAACAATCCAGTGATCCCCGCATTTCCAGACCTTCATCTATCTCCAGCAGCAATACTGAAAGAGCTGTCAACGTACTTCCCAAAATTTTCTGCACAATCTCGTCTCCTATCTCTTCCTGCAACCCATGAGCTCCCACCACGTGAAGCACAAGAATATCCTCAATACTTTTCCTTCGTCTATATGTGATTCTTAATTATTGTCTCAGTGTGCAACAAAATAATATTAATATTATTTAATGGGCGTCTCTGAATCTTAACCATAATTTGTTTGTGGTTCTCTCTGATATTTTTTCCCTACTACTCCCAAAACATTTTTGAGATGCAGGTTTTGAATCTGTCAAGAATAAAATGTGTTTCTTGCTTCTTTTTTCTAATAGTACTGTAAAGTGTTATGGATGAAGGAAATCTATGTCTGGATAAAATAGGTTTTTGACAAGTAAGCTGAATCTAACTACACTTTTAAACTGAAGCTGGACAGATAAGTAGAAAGTGTGTAGAGGCAACATTCTCTATTTGTTTAATTTTCTTTTTGAGGAAAATATATTTAATCTGTTAGGACAAGTGCCATGAAAGCGAAATATACATGTGATTTCTTTAATCATTCCATGTATTCGACATTGTTCATCATGCAAGTGATTATATTGTTTATGAAATGTCGTATTTCTCTGCTGAACTGCTTATAACTAGTAAGGAAAGATTTTCACCTATAAAAAAGAATAAAAGGAAAACAAAGAGAGGGAGAGAGAAATCTTAGTGTAGTATGAATAGCTGTTTCCTTGACACGGTTTACTTACCAGCGTCACTATCTTGTCATCAACCACATTGGATCAGTCCGCGCAGAGCATGATGACTTCTCCATACGCTTTGCTTCTGCTATGAATCAGGTTCTCTCCTGATCTCTCTCTCTTGGTCTCTCTCGAGTGCGCTCATGTGTACCATACGGCGTGTGTTCCCCATCACACATTTGGGAATTGCTAGTGTTCAAAATTAATATGTGATTTGTATACGAGTGCATGTAAGAAAAGAGGATGAATATGAGTGCGCTATACTACAAGTTGTGAGCATGTTAGTTCAAATTTGAAAACTCGGAAAATAAATTAGCTGCCATCATAACAAATTGACTTTCTTTTATTCTTTCACCTATTGTATAACCAATGCATGTTGGCAGGGCGGACGTGGACATTTTAAGCTAGGGGGCTCAATCAAGATCGAATACTTTGTTCTTGATTTTTGAACTATTCATAGTTGACCCGAGAAATCTCAGATTTACATTTAAAAAACATTCATTCATTAATATTTTGATCATCACTTTCGTCCATTTGATTTCGAACAGTCATTTTACTGATAATTTGCTCATCACAAGAAAAAACATATTTACGTTTAAAGAATTTATAGTGTATCTGATACAACCAATTAACTAAAACAATAAATCATTTTCATCTATTTAATTTCGAAGAGTTATTTTATTAATATTTTGTTCATCACAAGAAAATGCATATTTATGTTTAAAAATCTTATAATGTATTTGATACAAACAATCAATTCAAGTAATCGAAAGGAAAAACATATAACCAATATCCAATACTAATAATCGGTCAAATAACACAATACGTTAAATATAAGTTAAATTGGACATAATCATTTTAGACACATTCTATATACTCAATTTGATAGGAGAAAATGCAAAGTTAGATTCTAATTAGTTGAAAATTTGATTGGGAAGTGAAGATTTGTAGTAGATGTGATAATTTTTAGAGAAATTATAGACGAATTTTTAAAAATTAGAAAGGTTAATGTTTTGGAAAAAGGCTTGAGAGAGAGAGAGAGAGTGTAAGAGAAAAAAGAAAAAAGTTCACACCTATTTGGTGGGGATTAAAAATATATTTTTAGTAGATCTTGTTAAAAGTTGAAATGTTGTGAATTTCATGAAATATGTTATTAAAATTAATTGTTAATTTTGATTTAGATTTCATTCAATACAAAACACGACTTTATCAAAAAAAAAATTCCCAAAAATTTGGGGGTCACGTGACCCCCCAGGACCCCCCTGTGTCCGACAGTGCATGTTGGTCAACTCTTTGTTCTGTTTAAAGGTTTGATTGATAGCTGTTCCATATTGCCCTTTTTTGCAGCTTATGTTATTGAAATCAATAGAAGGTGCAGATTTGGAGTGGGCAAAGGAAGTCAAAGGAAATATTTATGATATGGTTGTTGAAGGATTTCAACTCTTAAGTAGATGGACTGCTCGTGTATGGGAACAATGTGCATGGAAATTTTCTCGCCCATGCAAGGATCCTGTTTTAACAGAGCCTCATGAGAAACCAGAATCATTTTCTGACTATGAGAAGGTTCATTTTAATTTCAACATTTTTCAGTTATGTTGGCTAATTCTGCTATCTTTACTATAGCATTAGTCATGATCTATATCTTCATGTCTTGTTTTTGATTTGCTGCCAAATTTTAACTCTATGTTTTCACTTAGAACTCTAGCTGAACACTGCAATACCTTTCAGTATTAACTTCAGTCAGCTGATGAGGCTTTTTTCAATTCTTCTTGAGGTGGTACGATATAATTATAGTGCTGACGAAAGGAAAGCTTTGGTAGAACTTGTGAGCTACATCAAGAGCATTGCATCAATGATGCAGAAGGCCGATACATTGGTAGCAGATGCCTTATGGGAAACTATTCACGCAGAGGTCCAAGATTTTGTGCAAAATACGTTAGCCACCATGTTGCGGACTACCTTCCGGAAAAAGAAAGACCTTTCTAGGTAGGGACACCATTATTTTTGTGAATTTTGTATGATTTCAGACTTTCAGCAATAGTTCCTTTGATATACCTGAATCTTGTATTTTTTACTAATCTTTATATAGAAGTGTAATGTCTAAATGTGATGTGATTTTGTTTTGATATCATTTATTTCTTAGTACACGTGCACTGTCCAATTCACCAATAGGCGAGGTCTTGTAGCCCATGTTCCTTGCATGTACTTCTATCACCTGGTTATCTGATTCATGAAACTAGTTACACCCTTAAGCTCACTAGAGTCATACATATGTACGGGCCAGACAACTGACACCCATAGGATGGATGCAGGCCGAAAATTGGTGTCTTGGACTTAGCTAGCATACTCCAAGGTCTATTCTTCAACCATGTATGCATGCCAGCCAGTGTAAAACCAATTGTCCCTTCTGAGGGTCCTTATCCCATATGTGTCAAAAGCCTAGTATTCTGTTTTCTGTGGGCCACACACTAAATACTGGGAATGACAGAATATTGAAAGTAATATTTCCAAGCTTGTAGTATTTCATCAGTTGGGAATTACCCCTAAATTAGGTGTAAAATACCAAGTTTTTTTCTAACATGTGAAATCTTACATTTTGGACATGGGGGTGACAGACATAAATATTTGTATCCCTAATGTGCTTGATCCTTCAACAGAAGGAAAGCTGTGACTAATAGATCCTTTTATCAACCACTGCTTATTGCATCTCCCTTGGCATATCATTATATTGAATGACAAAATTGCCTAAGAGCTTAAGCTATAAGAGAGGAAGAAATTTATTTATGTATTATAGATTCAACATACCCCTCACATGTTTTGAAGGCTTGACCTGCTAAAATTTTATAATGGAGAACAGTGCTACCTGCTTTGTTACCATTTTGAAGCAACAAGAAGTCATCTGAAATATTAAATTGTTCCGCCAGAAAGGAATTTATTTCTTTTGTATAATATCTTCAACATATTATTTGACTGCATTATTATAGAACTTCCTGCTCTTTACCAATTTTCCAAGTGATATTTTTTGCTTGTTCAGTTTATTTGCATTAAAAATGAATATTCTATTTTATCGCAATTGATTTTCCTGCAAAGAAGATTATTTCTAGTCTAAGTTATCATTAGTTTGTTGCTTTGGCACAATCATAGCATTTTGTTTGTGGAATGAAGATTTGACACTTTTTAGCGTATCTGGAACTACTTTCAAAATCCAGTATATCTAAGAAAACCAACCAACTGAAAAAACATGTTTATTTTGCTCTCCTTGTAATTAATAAACTATTCAAAAAATTGATTGAAAATAATAATTATTACCGTTATGATTTTAAAATAAATTATTAAATTTGTTAAAATATTAAAATATTGTATTTTAGTCCTTTCTACACATTTGCATTTTTGTTCATGTATAAATACTGATTTTACCAATAAGTAACTACAATTTAGCACTACTACCAAGTGAAAAAAGTAAAGTTACTAAAAGTAATAATTTTAAGATAAGCCGAAGACTCCTGTAATGTTGAACCTATTGTATTATTTGGTTAATGTTTGGGATGGGGAACTATCTTATCATTGAATGCAATTTCCAATATGCACTCCTGATATTTCTGGGATAAAGAAATTGGGATCACTTAAGACGAAAGCTTCTTGGCCTCTTCTAATAGATATGTGGTTTACTCTATTTTCAGGATCCTTTCTGATATGCGGACACTTTCAGCAGACTGGATGGCAAATACTAGCAAGCTTGATTCTGATATGCAATCATTCCAGCAGGGAGGTGAAGAAAACAGAGGAAACATTTTCTATCCACGGCCAGTAGCACCAACAGCTGCACAAGTTAGTCTTCACTAAATGGCTTGATTTTCTAATTTTTGGTACAATGTGCCTATTGTATTATTTTGATGCATGTTTCTTATCATTTTGAATTTCTTTGTTTGTAAGAAACAGACAAATTAGTGGGCTAAATGAAATTTGCATAGTAAAGTGCACTAGAGTTTCTTACTACTTCATGCTTTTGTTCTAACCCTTTACCCTCTCAATTTTGAAATCTTGATCTTTCATTATTCTCATTGACTCTGAGGTTGATTTCTAGCTAAATGTTATATGGGTGTGTATTTTGTTTAAATTTGTTGGTCTTTCCCTTTAAGGATTTATTCTTGAGATCTTCCTGACTGAAGAAACATTGCTCCATTAGGGTATGAACTGGTTAATATAATGCACATTGCTCTCTGTTCACTCTTGTTTCGTGTTCTACAGTATTGTCAGTTTGTCATTTGTTAAATATAATAATCTTTGAATTTCATTTTCATAACATAAAAGTATTATTTGATGCAAGAATTAATTGACATCTTAAATATTTGACAAACCTGAATCTCTATCTCTTTCTGACAGATTCATTGCTTGCAATTCCTGATATACGAGGTGGTATCGGGCGGTAACATGAGGAAGCCTGGTGGTCTTTTTGGAAATAGTGGTTCTGACATTCCTGCCAACGATTTAAAACAATTAGAAACTTTTTTCTACAAGCTTGGGTTTTTCTTGCACGTATTAGACTACACAGGTTTGTGGAGAGGCTCAGTTATTAGATACTCAGTGGATCCTTCTGTGGCATTTAAATGTACTCATTATGTCATGAGAAGACTTTAATATAAATGAGTTTTGTATCTATATAGTAGGGAAAGTGTCCATTCTCCAGGCATCTTTTGAATAAATTTTTGCAACTTCAAGTTTCACCATTGGTTCTTGATCATTCCTAAATGTGGTTTTTTGGCTTTGTTCAAATAGTTAGGTGTTACAAGAACAATAGAAACACTCCTACTAGTTGTGATGCTAGTTTTATTATGATGATATTGGGATTGTTCACTCTTAGGTTATTTGTCCCTTCTTGAATAGTAGGAGGTTTAAGATGAACAACTGTATCTGCCAGCATAAGACATGCAAAACAATCAACTTGATCTGCTCCTTAAGGATTAAGATATTCTCATTGACATGTGTAATCAACAATCTTACTAGCATCAATTTGTGGATTCTGTTACATGGTGTTGCTAATCCTTACTAACAAGCTAAGCCTTATTTCAAAAAAACATGGTGTTGCTAATCCTTTTCCACATTCTATTCCTTCCAATACTACATTTACCTAAAGCTCCAATGAAATTTCTGGATTCTCTTACAATTTGAGAAAAAACCTATGTGATCTTAGTCAAAGATAATAGTGATTTTAGGTTAGTGTACCCAATAAATAGTTCTACAAATTATCTTTAGTCTGTGAATAGATGGTGTTACTGATTCATAAAATGGTTACGATATGAAACCAAAAAATGTTTACAGCGAGTCTTGTATTCTTATCTTCATGAGAAGTCTTCTTGCATCTTGCCATTTTCATGGTTTCTCATCAACTAATCTGTCTATAGAACAATCAAATCTAGCATGGCAGAATGATGAGTGTTTTCAGAATAAAAAGACTCATTTGTTGATGTATGCAACAGTGTTGCTGAGCTTTTGTACAGCGGCAGATAATAATGTAGGTGTGTTTGACCTTCTACCTCATCAAACTGTTGTGAACACCAAAATGTAAGGGTTCACTGAGACTAATATGTTTGAATCCTGTATAACTAGGTTCCAGAAAGTGAGTAAGAGCAGGACTAACCATCAATAGAATTTTCATAAAGTCCCTTGTGCATTGGAACTTTTGAACCTGCATTTGTTTTGCCCTTTAACTATGTAATGACACTCAAAAGTAATACAAACTTATAGATTTATACCCGTGGCATATGCCCACGGAGAATCGGAAACTTAGTGCTTCCTTTTATACATGAACCGGTCCAATTCTGGCTGGACTTCCTAAAGAAAAGCATACTTCCAAGAGTTTGTTTTCCTAATTTGGTTGTTTATTGTTATGTAGTGTTGTAGAATCATGATACTTCACTCTAGAGTTTTCCTTTATTCTTTCTGATCAATAATTTTTTGCTAGTATGCATGATTTTTTTCTAATTCTAACATGGATGATTTGGTATATCACCGCAGCAAACATTCTATTGGTGCAGTGAAATTAATTTTGTTCTTATGTTTTCTTGCAGCAACGGTTGCAAACTTGACAGATCTTGGTTTCTTATGGTTCAGAGAATTTTATTTGGAATCTTCACGTGTTATTCAGGTGAAGATCTTTATCTTCGCAATGTTTGATTGTATCTAGAAGTATTAACTCTATTCACTGTTTGCAAGGTCTTGCTAGCTTTGTCCTACCTAGATCTTTTAGTGCGATAAATGGTTTAAATGTATCTTTATTTGCATTTCACCAATATTTAATCAGGCTACTTGCGATACTAACTCCACTCTGACCTATATAAGCCTCTAAAGATATGTGTCCTGCAGAGCGCATGAACATTGGAATAAGCTCTAGAAATATTTCTGTGGCTAAGGAAAAGGTTTCCTCACCTTTTGTGTCCATTAAAACTGTTGATTTTAATGAGCTTTTAAAGCTTCAATGTAAATATTTTTGAAGTATTAACTCTTTGGTGGTCTTCTATATGCATCTTTTTTACTCTCATTTAATACATGCTACCGTGATTCACTTTTTCTTTCCCATATTTTATGAGGGCCTGTGTCGTTTATCCTGCAGTTTCCTATTGAATGCTCCCTTCCCTGGATGCTGGTGGATCATGTGATCGAATCTCAAGATGCAGGTCTTCTTGAGAGTGTTTTAACGCCTTTCGACATCTATAATGATGCTTCTCAACAAGCACTGGTGGTCCTCAAGCAACGATTCCTTTATGATGAAATTGAAGCTGAGGTAATTTAAGTTAAATCAATGAAATGTCCTTGGGAAGGGTTTTAGATATGTTTTCCTCTAATCCTTTCATGTACTTGTATTGACAGTAACGAGACAAGGATGAACAATGTGTATATTCACCTTAATTGTTACAATCTAATGAGTCCAATTTATAATAGTTTCTAGTCTAAGAAAAAGGAAA